AGAGTCCAAGGAGGATGCTTTAGCCAGTGTCCACTTGTAGAACCACTTTACCTGTGTCCACTTGTAGAACCAAGAAAGACATTATTTTTCCAGGAGGAACTCCACAATGGTGGGAACTGGAAATGAAAATGATATTTGGCAGGCAGAGTAAGGTGGTGCGATGGTGAGATGTCTTATAATAATTGATGCTGCTGCCTTATCCATGTCCTCTTGTCTCACTGTAGCCAAGCACCTGGGAGAGAGATGGCTGAAGACCTCTAGTTCTTCAGTGGAAGAATCTCAACCAGTCTTCCTTTTCAGTCACCATGCAGACCAAACACAAGGCCACCCTTCTGTCCTGAAAACATAGGGAACGCTAGGGGTGATTTTTTTTTTTGACAATGCAATCTTAAAAGTGACTGTTTGCCTGAAGCCCCCAGTATTTACTGCAGTTTGTCAGCGCCCTCCTCCGTCACTAGATCCTCTCCACCAGTCATGTTCCCTGAGCAATGGGTGACTTAAAAGTTATAAACAAGACAGTCTTATCCTAATTTGTGTCCATGTGTTCAAGGATCACAGGCCACAAATTAGGATAGTAGTAGTAGTTCATAGTTGCTGTTTTAATTTAAATTCATTTCCAACATTTAAAACTAAGGGAATTTTCTTTTAAAAGCCAGATTTCAGCTCATCTTTTAAATAATCTTAAGACCTAATGGTACTGGACTCACGTTCCCACATGGCAGCAGTTGATCAGAGCTGAATAGTGACATCTCCCTTTAGACAGGGTGTGTACTTTCCAACTCACCATAGTTCCTGTTGGCCTGTTTTGTTCAAAGCCTGGCCTGTCAGCATCCTATTTGAGACCCCATTCTGTCCCAAAACTTTGCTGGAAGAAACTGGATTAATGTTTAGTCAGCTGCTTATTTGAGGAATGCAGTGCTGTAGCTTAGGAAAAGTAACAACCCAGTAAAAGAATCTATGGGAAAGAGTATGCACATCTTGGTCTGTTTGTGGATTTGGTCATCTTTTTGCTGTAAGTGCTGTTGGCATATCAAACCTCCCGTCACAAATGTACCCTTTGAAATAGTAACATGTCCTTCTATCATTCTGAGTTGCCACCCAGTGAAGGAATCCCTCCCACTCCCAAGGGATGTTCATCCAGCCTCCGTTTGACCACTTCAGCAGCCAGGGAGCTTATTACCTCCTCACATGGCAGCCAGTTCCATTCTTGGACAGATATATTATTTTAAAATTCTTCCTTATGTTGAAGCAGCTGTTGCCTCCTTGGGACTGAAAGCCACAAAATGCTGGAGCTGGGAAGGGAAACTGATTTTTTTAGGCATGTGAGCTGTCACTCATCTACCCAGCATCCCGGGCAAACATTGATAATTAATCCCAGTACTCTTTCTTACTAATCCAGGAAGTAGAATGCAGATTTTTTTTTTTTCTTAAAGTTAAATTCTTTTAAAATTACAAAAATAGTGAAATAGTACAAAATTGCATAAAGAGAGTGTTTATCATTCCTGTCTCATCAGAGTAACCAATCTTAGCCTAGTGTGTATTCTTCTACACATTTCTCTGTACACATGCAAATAGATATTAGTATATAAGGGGCTTTGTGTATGACTTTTTTCTTTAAACAAAAATAGCATCTTATTGTACATACTCTACATCTATGGACATCCCTCCAAGTTACAGGTCAAATACTAGATATAGATTTATTTTTGTATTTTTTAATGTGTTGTTTGTTTTGGGGTTCTGGGGATTGAACCCAGAGTTCTCTACCACTGAGCTATATCTCCAGCCCTTTTTATTTTGAGAAAGGGCCTCACCAAATTGTTCAGGCAGGCCTCAAACTTGCAATCTTCCTGCCTCAGCCTCCTAAGTAATTGGGATTACAGGCATGGACCACCAGTCCTTGCTCAAGCATTTTGTTTTTTACTTTTTTGCAGCAATAGGGATTGAACCCAGGGACACTCCACCACTAAGCTACATCCCTAGCCCTTTTTATTTTTTTATTTCGAGACAGGGTTTTATTAAGTTTCTGAGGCTGGCCTCAAATTTGTGATCCTCCTGCCTCAGCCTCCCAAGCTGCTAGGATTACAAGTATGTGCTGCCATGCCTGGCTCAGGTGTTTTTAAATAATGCATAGTGTGGGATCTGTCCCAGTTTATTTATTTATTGTGGTACTGGGGATTGAATTCAGGAGCATTGTACCTTTGAGCTATATCCCCAACTTCTTTTTTTATTTGTTTATTGTATTTTGTGACAAGGTCTTGCTAAGTTGCTGAAGCTAGCCCCAAGCTTTGGATCAGTCCTTCTGCCTCAAGCCTTCCAAATCACTGGGATTACAGGCAACCCCAGTTTATTACTCATTCCCCATTGATGTCTTATTTTCTTCATTTCTTTGGGATCCTTCCTCTCATAGTGCTCCAAGCAGCTACTACCAATCAGTTGGAGTTTGCCTGTGAGGTAAAACCTATTTGTCATGTCTGACCTAGGTCAGCCTCTTATCTCACACATTCCAGAGAAAAAAAGCAGATGTAATTTCAAAATCAAAGTGAATCTGAGGTTGGAGTAGGACTAGAACTAAATTTTCTTGACTTTAAACATTTCCCATATCCCGTGTTGCCTGTCACTTAGAGCTATCTAAGTGGTAGCTATCTATCTACCCTGGTAGATGGCTCTTTTTTCTAGAGTAAAAGAACAGATATGTCTTGTCTTCTATATGCCGTGTCTTCAGATATTCAAAGTTAGTATTGCAAGTTCCCCCAAGTCTTCTCTTTCCCCACAAGGAACTTAGTACCTTCAAACTTTTCCTGTTAGGACAAGATTTCTAAATCCCTTGAAACAACCTATTGTAGTTCCAGCCTAAGAGAGGAATTTGGGTACTTCTTGCTCCAGAGTTTCTGATTTTTGAATCTCCCCTTCCCCTCAGGTTGGACCATCCAATGGACCATTTCTTCTACCTTCTTTTCCTTCAGGGCTGTAGAAATCCCACTGTGGCTTCCCCACTCACTTTTTTCATATATTCATTCATTTATTTAACAAATATCAAACATCTGTGTGTCAAGTACCATTCTAGGATCTGACTGTCTGTATAGCTTGCATTTTGGTGGGAAGAAAGAAACAACATAAATCAGGTGGTATTTGAGTTATATAAAAGAAATAAAACAATACAAAATAGTCACCGGGGAAGGTCTCCTTAGATTGGATTGTTAGAGAAGCTGTCTCAGGAAATGACAGAATGAACGGAGACCTGAGTAACAAATAGGAGCTACGGGAAGAGAAGTGCAGTGAACAAGAAGGAACTTGGTACAGGATAAAGTTGGAAAGGCCACAGGAGTCCTCAGGAGGGCCTTTTTGCATTTAGTTTAAGTGCAATGGGAAGCCATTGGAGAATTGTAAGCCAGGGAGGCAACTTCTTATTTTGCCTTTAAAAAGATTTGAGAAGGCTTTTTGACTTGGAGCAAGGTTTCATCTTCTCACACCTTTTTCTGCTTCTTATATTAGAGGTATTGACAGCTATGCTACTTTGCTCTCTGTTTGGGGGTTCTGCAGGGGATCTGTGAGGCAAGTCAGTTGTTGCCAGATGTACTTCACAGCTCTCCTCAGCAAAGACAGAACTTCGTGGGGATGGGAGTAGCTCCCTAAGACCTGCGCCCAACAGGTTCAGTGGGTCTTTGTGTAGAGTTCTCAGTCCAGGGAAACTCTGTCCTTTGGCAGCCAGAGGATTGTGGAGCTGAATGTGGTTTGGTGATGGTGCCAAGGACTTTGGTTGTGAGAGAGACAGATGGGGGAGATATTGATTGGAGACCTGGAGCTCAAGTCAACTTAGAAAAAGGGTTCAGAGGGGTTGAGGTTGTGGCTTAGTGGTAGTGTGCTTGCCTAGCATGCATGAGGCACGGGGTTTGATTCTCAGCACCACATACAAATAAATTTAAAAAATAAATAAAGGTCCATCAACAACTAAAAAAAAATAGAAAGAAAAAGGCTTCAGAATGAGTGTCCAGAAATCATCAACTGAAAGGTAGGCCTGTTGGTTGCCCAGATGAAACAACCTCTGTGTAGTTCCTGCCTAAGAGAGAAATTTGGATTCTTTTTGTTTGGGAGTCTTTGAATTTTGATTTCTCCTCTTCCTCTCTGGTTGGTGTACTCTTGGCTCTCAGGGGTTTGGATGGCAGGCTGGTGTTCTAGAAGTCAAGAGGACTTTCCAACCTAGAGAACTTGAGTCTGAAGCAAACTTCAGAGGAATGAAAAAGAGTTCTGGGAGGAATTTACCTTGTATAGAGATAGGTAGTATCTTAGAGATCAGATATGTATGTTTTCCAGAGTAGGAAAGCTGGGTTGAAGAGGGTGAGATTTTCTCAGCCTGTTGATAATCTTTGAAAAAGACTGTTCTTGCCCATGTCCAAGGGCTGACTTGTACCCAGCCAGTTAGGGACTAAATAGCTGTCTGTATTCCTGAGATCTCCATGGGGTCACCATCCCATGTTCACCCCGACCAAGCCTTGTAAGTTTTGGCTTAAAGTAATTATGGAGCCCTTAGGGTCCTTCCAGCATGTGAGTAGTCACTGGTTCTAGCTCTCAGAGGGAAGGAGTCAATGACCAGCGAGGTTAGGAGATGTACTCAGAGTCCCATGTCTTCTTTGTCATGTTCCATTAATTCAGATCTTTCCCGATAATGTGAAGCTTGTCTTATTTTCCTTTTCTGAAAAATCTTCCCAACTTACTTTCTGCTTTAACTCCACCTCCTTTGGCCCTCTGGCAACCCGGTATGAGGGGTAGCATCTTCTCCTTAGTGTCTGGGGGGGGGGGGGGGTCTGTGAGTGCCAGTGCCTTTTCTCTGGACCTGGAGATTGATAGGAAGTTGGTTTAGTATCTGAAGTTGGCTTCATCTTTTTCCTCCGAACAAGTACTCTGAAAGAGGAAGGCATGGGACTCTGTACCTCCTCAGCCCACACTCTCCTGGACAGCTTTGGCCCCTTCGCTCTCTCTGATCCCTTTGCTTCCTTTTCCAGGAGCCTGGAGAGGCGTGGCTGGACCAAGACCTCCCCCCATGTGAGCAGGCTCCCTCCTCCCCTAACCACCCATTGCCACCACGCCAGGGAACGTCCTCAAGCCCTGGCCCTCAGGGGAGAGCTAACAGGAGCCCAGAGCCGAGACCATGTGACGGCGCTGGCCCTTGCCACCGCCGTCCCCCCCACCCTGGCCCCAGGCCTGGCACCATGATGTTCCGAGACCAGGTGGGCATCCTCGCTGGCTGGTTCAAGGGCTGGAATGAGTGTGAGCAGACAGTGGCCCTGTTGTCGCTTCTGAAGCGGGTCACCCGTACCCAAGCCCGCTTCCTGCAGCTCTGCCTGGAGCACTCGCTGGCGGACTGCAATGACATCCACCTGCTGGAGTCGGAGGCCAACAGTGCTGGTGAGTCTCTGCCCCTAGAGATGGGAGTGAATTAGGAGGGTGACCTGGAATGGATGTCAGATGCCCAAGAAGGCCAGTCAGTAATGGTGCTAAGAAATTTGTGTTCTGTGCTTTTGGGAGTTGGGAAGTCTCTGTCCTCCCAAGCCTTCATCTTGGCTCTCCTGGGGCTTTTTTGCCAGATATCCTCAGGGTGGAATGGGAGACTCTCAATGGGGTGGCAAACCCCTAACCAAGAAAGAATCGTGTAGGGTTGCTTGTGTGGGCAGCTGAAAGGAACAGACTAAAGTCATTACCTATGAAAAGAGGGATAGAAAGTGAGCAATAATTTATTTTTCAAGCTCCAGGACATCAAGCTGGGTATGATGGCACCTATAATCCCAGTGGTTCCAGAGACTGAGGCGGGAGGTTCACAAGCTAGAGGCCAGCCTGGGAAACTTAGCAAGACCCTGTCTCAAAATAATAAGAGCTAGGGATGTTGCTTAGTGATAGAGGGTTCAATCTCCAGTTCCCCCGTCCTCAAAACAACAACTCTGAGAGGGAATTTTAGAACTCTTCCAGAATTCGTAAGTCATCTACACTATTTTTTTATCCCCAAGGGTAGGTTGGACTTAAGACATAAATAGCTTCAAGAGAGTTTGGAATTTAGATACAGTTCTGTATTTCCAATCCTTAAGCTTCCTGGAGAGAGGCACTCCATGTCTTAAGACGTTGGCGTTGGGATAAGAGAGCCAGGCTTCTCTAGAACCAGTCCCTAGGCCCCCAGTCATAGATAGGAGTAAGGCCAGAGAACAACCTCAAGTACCAGTGCTAAAGCCTGTCTAACCTTCTGGGCCTCCAAAGGGCTGAAGAGAGAGCTGCTGACACCACTGACCAGTGAGAGATGGAGGCCGGAGAAGAGGGAGGGCAGTGGATACCCAAAAGTTAGCTAGGAGGGGGACAGGGGGCTCCATGCAGTTTGTCCTAATTAGCCATCCTCACTCATCCCACCTTCTTCACAATCATAGTTGACATTGAACCCTTACAAGTTAAGGACTCTTTTTTTTTTTTTTTTGAGTATACATCAAGGAGGTGCCATTTTTAAATTTATTTAGAGCAAAGTAATAGAATTTATTTTTGAAACAGAAAGGAAGCAAAGGTCCCACAAGGGAGGGGTCTTGAAAGGGTTGTCCCCAAGTACCCTTTACTTTCTATTTATTAACTTGGAAAGCAGTGTTCTCTGGTGGCTCTCATTCTCATTGTCTAGGTTTAAATTACAGTTTTCACTTGCCATATAACCAAGTAATTTAACCTCTCCATGCCTCAATTCTGTCATCTTAAAGTCAAAATTATACTTATATTGACCTTTTAGAATACTTTTGAGGAGTCAGTGAGTAACACGTGTAGAGCTCTTAGAACAGTGCCTGGCATGTGGTAAACACTCAGTGACAGTCAGCTGTTGTTTTTATTGTCAGTAATTCAGTTGGTCCTCACAACCAGTCTTGTAGGTACTATTATTATCCCGTGTTTAAAGGTGAGGAAACCAGCATGGGCTTCTAATATTGGAGTTTGGAGAGCACAGAGCTGCCTGGCCTCCCTTGGTTCCCCAGGCCCACCCATCTTAGCAATAGTCAGCTTTCTTTCTTTTTTTCTTTTTCTTTCTTTCTTTTAAAAAAAAAAAAAAAAATATATATATATATATTTAGTTGTGGATAGACACAATACCTTTATTTTATTTATTCATTTTTATGTGGTGCTGTGTATCAAACCCAGTGCCTCACACGTGCTAAGCAAGTGCTCTACCATTTAGCCCCAGCCCCAGCCCAGTGAGCTTTATTTCTTATTGCATTTTTATGTGTAAGTCACAGAAGTGCAGTGGTTATAGGGGAAGGCAGTTACTTAGACCAGGAGCCATATCAGCCTAATTCCCAGACTGGCAGACAGAGCAGCAAGAACCCAGCTCAGCTGCAGCAGGCACAAGACTCACCCTCCCTACTAGGGAGGGCTCCCCTCTTTAGCACCAGGGGCAGGAGTTTGTGCTAAGACCCTGTTGTCAGCATGGGGGCTTTTTGGGGACAGGCTAGTGTCTTATACAGCTTTGTCACATAACCTTCTACCATTTCATCCATGAAGGCAGTTGGATAATTTTTGGGTACCAATTTTTGTCTACGTATCAGAACCGCTAGTGGTGCTTATTGCTATTGATATATTCAAGAGCATTTTCAGTCTTTGCTTTTGTTTTCAGAACTTGTAGTAAAAGTCAAACCATGCAGAAGGTGAAAAGTGAGGTCTTCTTTTCAAACTCCCATGTTCCCACCTTCTTGTATTATGTTTTATGAGATGGATTCTGTGCATATATAGCTACAAACTTATTCTCCTTCTTGCTTTAAGGTGTTTTAAGGGCTGGGGCAGAGCGCTTGCCTAGCATATGTGATGCACTGGGTTCAATCCTCAGCACCATGTAAAAAAAGACAAATAAAATAAAGGCAGTCTGTCCGTCTACAACTACAAAAGAAAAAGAAATTTTTAAAAAAAGTTGTTTAAACAGATATAGCCAGATATGTGTATTAACCAGTTTGCTTTGTTCACTTATCAAAATAATTTCATACCATTCCATATTCAGCACATACTTATATGCCTTGTTATTAATGGCTTGTCAGGGCTGAGAACTGCTGGGCAATAAATTGAATGACAAGTACATGAATCAAGGCCTTTCTCTATATCCCCATATCAGGTGGTAAGAATTTTGTTTTGTTTTGTTTTATCTTTGTTTATTTATTTTTATGTGGTGCTGAGGATTGAACCCAGTGCCTCACATGGGCAAGGCAAGTGCTCTGCCACTGAGCCACTATCCCTGCCCAGTAAGAATTTTTATAACAAGCTGATACTTACATGGTTAGGGGAGTAATGAAAACCTACAGGAGGGAAGAGAGGGAAAGGAAAGAAATTACCTGTGATCGTTTCTCTATCAAATCAAGCTCTACTCCAATCTTGATGTGCTCACTGACTGGTTTGCTTGCTTCTTTCCTTCCTGCATTAAAATATTAAGAACTGTTATTCTGGGGCTGAGGTTATAGCTCAGTGGTAGAGTGCTCGCCTCGCATGTGGAAGGCGCTGGGTTCGATCCTCAGCACCACATAAAATAAAGGTGTTGTGTCTGTCTATAACTTAAAAAAAAAAAATTTTAAAAAAGGACTGTTAATCTAAAAGAAGGTTTGGGGGCCCCCAAAGAAAGTAGTATGTTTGGCTGCAGTTCTGCCTACCTTGTTTCGAAGAAAGGGAGAAAGCCCACCAGGATGGGAGTAGAGCGTGACCTTATTTGTCTCTTGGGAGAAATTGCTTCTCCCTTATTTCTTTTCCTCTGTTCATAATTGGCCTTTCCATTCACTTGGGTTTCCAACTTGCATCATCATCAGAATCCCCCAGGATGGGCAGTAACTTAAAATTCAGATTCCTGGCCCTCACTGTCCCCCCAGACTCACTAAATGAGCACCCTGAGAGGATGGTCGTGGGGAAAAATACTCAAATTTTTCTGATGACCAGTCACTATGGGAGATGATGCCCTGCTGGGTGATTGAACTTGTTATGAAGCATAACACATCAAAGTTCTAGATCCAGCTCTACCATAAACTCATACTGCTCTTGAGTCTGAGGATCCTTATCTAGTCAATGAAGGGGTTGTTCTAAGTACTTTTGAGGTACATCTTTAGGCTCTGAAAAAAAGTGTCAAAGTTGGCAGAACATAGCCAAGCATACTACTTTCTTTGGGAGCCAGTACATTCTAGAGCAATAGTTCTTTTTTTTTTTAACATTTATTTTTTAGTTATAAGTGGACACAATATCTTTATTTTATTTTTATGCAGTGCTGAGGATCAAACCCAGTGCCTCACGCATGCTAGGTGAGCGCTCTACTACTGAGCTACAACCCCAGCCCTAGAGCAATAGTTCTTATTATTTAATGCAGACTGGAGATATAGCTCAGTAATAGAGCACTCATCTAGCATGTGCAAGGCCCTGGATTCAGTCTGCAGCACTGCCCCCTGCCAAATTTTACTGGATGGACCCTCGCTTTCTCAGAGAAGTGCACACATACCCCACTAACCAAATCCTGAGTTCATTTGGCCCACTAGTCTCCAATTAAGAGCTGCCCATTACAGGGACTAAAGCCCTTCCGTAGCTCTTCAGCTCCCTTCAGAGCAGGAGGCCTGAAGAATAAGGTGTAGATCTCTTGCTTTTTTCTTGGTTTTGTCTCTGTCCCACCTGATGAACCCTACCTCTTCCTTCAGTTCTCCAGGGAGTCCCTGGGTTTGGGTCAGAGCTGCCTACATGCCTATCTCGTCCACAGATAGGGCAGGGAGCACAGAGAAACCAACATAAGAAAGTGTCCCAGTCCTGGCTTCAGGTCACAGTCCCCCAGAAACTTCCTAAAAATAATGTGAGGCATAGGTCCTGCCCTTAGAGATTTAAAGCTCCCTAGGTGACTCATGTTTGACCCATTGGAGAACGATTTGACACTTGCTGATGCTGATTCTAGGTGAGCCTAAGAATGTGGTAAGGAATGTGACCTGTTGAAAGTTGGGGTGGGGGGTACAGCCTAGGCTCTCCCCCTAGGGACAAGGAGGATATATGGAAGTCATCTATCTCCAGCACCCCACGCTGGTTTCGTAGAAACAGGACCTGAGGCAATATTCAGGAAAAGTAATACTCCAGAGCTCTGGAAGAGGGGGAAGGACCCAGGTGTCCCCTCATCATCATCCTTGTTCCTTCTCCTGTATTCCCTTCTGTTTGGAACTACAACAGTAATCTTGGCACTCTCCTTTCCCTGATGCTGCCTTGGACTAGAAGGGAAGTCTCATGGACAGGAGGATGGTGGGGAATGGGGGCCAGGGGAGCTGAATTTCCCCTTCCGTCCTAATTCTGTAGCATCCTGGGCCACATTTCCTGCCTTTCTTCCCACCTCATCTCTTCTGAGTCAGTTCCCAAATCCAGCAGGTTTAAGCTCCTCCTCCTTGGCTCCCTGGGTC